GGGGGGATGCTTAATCAAAAAAAGAAGGAAAAACCACACATGTGAAAGAAATAGGAAAGTAACAGTCTATCCAGGCTAGGAAGGAAAGTAGAAGTCTATTCAGTGGCGAGGAAAGTCGTGCGTGCTGAGACCTCAATCTACGAAAGATGACACAAGACAAGGGAAATAATAAGTGTATCATGGGAGCTCACCCTGTCCAAGGGGTTAGAGGTCAGTGTCCGTCGCTTGTCGTCGTCCTCCTGGGACAACATGTCCTGGCACATGGACAGCTTCAGGAGGAACACGTCCAGCTCCCTGTCAAAGACACAAATAGCCAGTTTATTAATAGCTCTTTTTACGGCACCTTGCAACCACAATTAGGTCATGGAGATGAACGGAAAATCCCTGTTTGCACTAGGAAATATATTCAAAGAAAGATATGTCACTGATGATATCAGAGGTGTTACTAGTGAGCAACATACAAAGAAAAAAGAAGGAGAGATAGTTTTAGTAAGAGTTTTACCGCACTTGCAACACAATAAGGTCAAATAAATGCCAGAAGATTAGAGGTGTCACAAGAGAGTAACAAACATAAAAAAGAAGTAGGGGAGATAAGGACGATAGATGTTTCATAGGAAAGAAGGAGCAAACCACACCAGAGCACCCGCCAACCACCCACTTAGCTGTTTTTACGGCACCTTGTAACCACAGTTAGGTCATACTGATGATATCAGAGGTGTAGCTAGAGAGCAGCATACAACGAAAAAAGAAGGAGGAGAGATAACAACAATAGATGCTTGACAGGAAAGAATAATAATAATAATAATAATGATAATCATGAACAATAATACTATTAATAACCTTCAATAATAATAGACTGCGGTTATCTAACCCTCTATCCCATACTAGGACAGAAGAAAAAAAGCACAACAGAGCACCCGCCAACCATCCACCTGTGAGCTTCATTATCAAAACAAGAAGGAGTACAGATTGATTAAATGCCACAATGGCCTAGAACATCTGGCTCAAACTGGAAAAAATAGAAGGCAAGCAAGGCAGGAGTAGAACCAGAGCAACTAAGTGGGGAACCTTAAGGGGAGGAGCGACCCTTGATTTTGCAGATTTTGGGTTAGGTTATGCGTATTGCAATGTTGGCTGATTTTTTAAGATCAACCAGTTTTTTTGTCTAAAAATAGCACGGAGACAATTGAGAAAGTCTTTATTCTCCTTGTAAATTGCCTTTGAAAATATGAGGATGGGTCAGTATAGTGAATTTTCACAATAATTGTCACTTTTCGGAAAATGTAATTTTTTTGCAGTTTTCTCTCACCTCTGTAGCACAAAACATCTCTCACCTCTACTTTTTTTTAAATTTTAAATTATAGTAGAGGGGTTTACAGCACTCGCAACTGCATAAGGTCATATGGGCGCTCTCTCACCTCTGCAAGCCTTTCCCAGCCACAGCCACCAGTTTCTGAAACTCCGGCATGGGACAGCTGGCCCCACCCCCCGCACCAGTCGCTGCGGCAGACGCCATCCCTGCGTCCTTCTCCAGACCTTGGTCGACGTACGCCTTCATGGCGTCCACAAACTCTCCGTCACAGCTGTGGAACAACATCACTTTAGTATACCTGCATGTGTTTTTACGGTCCTGTACAGCCAAGAAAAATTTCCCTCTGGGATAAATAACAGAAGATAATACTTTATCATGATAATAAAGTATTATCTTATGTTATCTTATTTCATGTTATCTTATATCATCTTATCTTATCTTATGTTATCTTATCGTATCTGATCTTATGTTATTTTATCTTATGTTATGTTATCTTATGTTATCTTATCTTATGTTATCTTACGTTTTATGTTATGTTACCTTATCTATCTTACCTTATCTTATCTTATCCAAAAGACCCCCGAGCCCACTGCCACACCCACCTGGACAAGTCCAGCCTGGCAAAGTTGTTGAGCAGACCAAACTTGAAGGTCTTGGGAGCTCCGCTCTTATCATCCACCGCCTGCTTGACATCATCGAAGTCGTCATCCTCTGGAATTGCAAAAAATTTATGATTGTAAAATTTGTTATACAACCCACTTTCAGTTTCAGTTTGGTAGAAATTTTACAGGGCTTGCAACTTAGCTTTAGTAGAGGTTTTACAGCGCTGGCAACTGCATAAGGTCATATGAGCGCCAGAAGATTAGAGGAGTTGCAAGAGAGTAACATACACAAAAAAGAAGATGAGGAGATATTGTTGTTAGCGATCCAGTCGAGAAGGGGAGATAAGGACGATATATGTTTGATAGGAAAGAAGGAGCTATCCACACCAGAGCACCCACCACCACCCACAATACAAAACAGTCTGATCCACTACAGGAAGGCGCAAAAAAGATGTGTATCAGTGATGATGATGACGATGATGATGATGATTTACTCAAGACTCTTCTTCCTTACTCTACTTTTTCTCCAATAATGATGATGACCATGGGTGATAAAGTCTTTGTCAAAGGTGATGACAAAAGTGAATGATGACAAAGACGAAGACAATAATGCTGCTGAAAGCAACGATGCTGAAGATGATGACAGCAACAATGATGTAGTTATTTGTTTTAGTAGAAGTTTTACGACACTTGCAACACAATAAGGTCACATAAGTGCCGAAGATTAGAGGTGTTACAAGAGAGCAACAAACACAAAAAAGAAGCAGGGGAGATAAGGACGATAGATGTTTGATAGGAAAGAAGGGGCAAACCAAACCACAGCACCCGCCAACCACCCACAGCAACAATGATGATAATGATGATGACGAGGATCACATAAGATAGAACAACACTTCAATATCCCACTCCTGTCCAGTTAATCAATTAATTACGGCTCAACAGTCTCAGTACCTGAGTCTGCCTCAGCCACCTCCGAGCCCTCGGGGCTGACGGCTTTCCTTAGCGCGCACACCAGGCCGTTCTTCTCTCCCTTGTTGATGTACGACGTGACCAGACTGGGCAGGTCTGTGTAGCTCGGGGGCTGCATGTCGCCCTCAGACTGGGGGGGAGGGGGGGGAAGGTAATCGGGATTGAGGGATTGTGACAGTTTTAGTTTTAGTAAGCGTTTTACGGCACTTGCAACACAATAAGGTTATATATATATATAAGTGCCGAAGATTAGAGGAGTTACAAGAGAGTAACAAACACAATTTTAAAAAAGGAGGAGAGATAAGGACGATAGAGGTTTAATAGGAAAGAAGGAGCAAACCACATCAGAGCACCCGCCAACCACCCACCGTCTTAGACAGATAATGAGGAACAACAGAAGGTAAAAAAAGAAGTTGTAACTTTCAGAAGCAAGCTTCACCTACCTGTAAAAAGAAAAAAACAGTCAAGAGCACCAGAAAAGACAAGATGTGAACAAATAGTCTTTCTTTAGTTTTAGTAAGCGTTTTATGGCACTTGCAACACAATAAGGTCATATAAGTGCCGGAGAATAGAGTTGTTACAAGAGAGTAACAAACACAAAAAAGAAGGAGGAGAGAAAAGGACGATAGATGTTTGATAGGAAAGAAGGAGCAGCAAACCACACCAGAGCACCTGCCAACCACCCACAACTACCTGTACAAAGGAAAAACAGACAAAAGCAACAGAAAAGACAAAGTGAACAAATTCAAAGTGGACAAAGTGAACAAATTCAAAGTGGACAAAGTGAACAAATTCAAAGTGAACAAAGACAAAGTGAACAAATTCAATAGTCTACTTTTGCCCTACACAACACTCACCTGTACAGAAATGCGGCCATCTTTGTCTGGCAGAATCCGATACTGGTGAACTCTGTGCTGATGTCTGCAAAAGGGAATGTTGTTTTAGCAGAGGTTTTACTGTGCTTGTAAGTGCATAATAAGGTCACATGAGCGCCAAGGGGTGGATGTCAGCAGAGAAGTCTTTACAGGGAATCGGGCTTACTCTGCTCACCTCTCTAGCTTCAACAGCACAAAGTCTGCTTCGACTATCAAGGCACCCCGGAAATAGCGGGTCACAAGAGTGTGACAAACATACAAAAGAAGTAGAGGAAAATGACGATAGTAAGGATTAGGAAAGAAAAAGCAGCAGTTCCCTGCTGCAGTTCAGGCACAAATATGAGCATGAAATTGTTGGATAAGCCCATTCACAATTCTATTGTGCATTCCCGCTTTAGGAATGGCCTAAAGACACTTCTTCAGTCAGTGGCACCAGGGGGTGCAACAGGTAACGGTTGGTCAAACCGTGTGGAGAGGACTGGACAGTCGTCATGCACTAACGACAGACAGCGCGCTTGTGTGTGTGTGAGTGCGTGTGTGCGTGTGTGTGCGTATGTGTGTGTGTACGCGTGTATGTGTGTATGTGTGTGCGTGTGTGTGACAGACAGACAGACAGACAGACAGACAGACAGGCAGACAGACAGAACTCACAGCAGACACAGCACATAGGCTCCCGTGACCGACTCGCTATCCCTGACCAGAAAACTCCCGTCCTCCTCAGCCTGAAGCAGCAGCTCCTCCGCCCTGAGCCGAGTGATCCCCCGGTGGAAGAACACGGCAGACATCCTGGTGTGTACCACGCGGGCCCCGGCGCGACCGTTAGACCTGGACCAACACAGACAAGGTGGTTAGTTTTAGTAAGAGTTTTACGGCACTTGCAACACAATAAGGTCATATTTATAAGACATGGTGACATGGCACAGAGTTCGGTTTGGTTTTAGTAAGAGGTTTACGGCACTCATAACTGCATAAGGTCATATGAACGCCAGATAATAAGAGGTGTTACAAGAGTGGGGGTTTTTTCACAAAGAAGACAATTTTTAGTATTCGTAGAGGTTTTACGGCGCTTGCAACTGCATAAGGTCATAATATGAGCTCTAGAAGATAAGAGGTGTTACAAGAGAGTAACAAACATAAAAATGGAAGAAGGGGAGATAAGAACTATAGATGTTTGATAGGAAAGAAGAAGCAGACCATACCAGAGCACCCGCCAACCACCAACATGGTGACATGGCACACATTTAGGATTTGGTTTTAAAAGACACAGCATAGGACTCTATACGTCATATCACAGGACGCATAGGACAGGACAATGACTCGACTTTAAATGATCTCGCACAGAGTTGGGACTTGGCTTTAAACGGAATAGTCTTTAGGCGAAACAGTAGCAGAATTAGGAATTGGCTTTCAACGAGATACTCTTTAAACGAAAAAGCACAGAGCAATGACTTGACTTTAAAGACAACACAGAATTAGGACTCGGCTTTAAACGAAATAGCACAGAGAAATAACTTGACTTTAAAGACAACACAGACTTAGGACTTGGCTTTGAACGGAATACTCTTTAAGCGAAAAAGCACAGGGTTAGACCTCGGCTTTCAACGAAAAAGCACAGGACACTGACTTGACTTTAAATAACACAACACAGAGCTATGCCTTGGCTTTAATACGATATTATAGCACAGTAGGACAATGACTTGGGAGTAATGACTTGACTTCAAAGGACACAGCGCAAGACAACGACTTGAGTTTAAATAAATGACATAAATACAGAAATATGGCTTGGCTTTAAATGAAAAACATTTGTGATACCGGACAATGACTTGACTTAAAATGATGTAGCACAGGACACTGACTTAACTTCAAATAACATAACACAGAAAAGGTCGCTTTTAAGCACAAGGGGGGCTATCCCGAAAAATGCTGTTTTGAGAAAATCGACGGTAAATTTTTTTGCTCCTTGTTCACTTTCTTTAAAAGACAAGGAGGGTTTTTTTCTGTAACCAAACAAATAGATACACACCAATGAAACCAAACTTCTCCTATAGGTAGGGCAATGCCCACTTTTGGTGTAGGTCAAGATTTCTCGAAACCCCCGAAATCTGGGTTGGCCCGCTTGTCCTTAAAAGCGACCAAATAAGGTTTGACGTCAAACGACAAGGCACAAGACTATGACATGTTAAACGACAAAGCCCAAGTTTATGACATAACTTTAATGTTACTGACATAGCACAGGCCAACTTATATCAAATATGAACGGTTCCCGTTTTCCATGACAGACAGAGATCAGCGGATGACGAAAGCAAAATACCGGTTGCAAATGAACAAAAGTCTGAATAAAACGTACAAACAAAAGGAAAGAACTGGTGAGATGACAAAACTAACACCAAAACGGCAAAGTCAACAAATTAACACGTATGATTGCTAACAAAAAGGACCAACAAGATGCTCAGAGTTCTTCGAGAAACGAGAGTACGCGTCACGGGCCAATGTGTTAGTTTTAGTTTTAGTAGAGGTTTTACGGCGCTCGCTACTACATACGGTCATATGAGCGTCAGAAGATTAGAGGAGTTACAAGAGAGTAACAAACATAAAAAAAGAAGAAGGGGAGATAAGGACGATAGATGTTTGATAGGAAAGAGAAGCAAGAAGCAAACAACACCGGAGCACCCGCCAACCACCCACGATCACGAGCACTCAATACCACAGCTGATTTTATACCTCTAAAACCAGAGGCATTTTTTGCAGAATGGACTACGAGCTCATGGTCCTGAAATAGCCCTGTAATTATTTAGATAGATTTTTTTCCTTTTTCTTGATCACATCACACGTTAAGTCTGGTATCTGTCTTAAATTGGGCCGTCCTGCATAGTTCATCTGTCGGCTCGTATAGCTTCTCTTGTAGTGTCAGTGGGGTTGGCCACATTTCCAGTCTGTTATTTAGACTGACAGCTGGTTTAAATACTATCATCATGCAACCGTGCACAGAATCAGAATCATGCCCACTTTGTTGACTGTAGTCATGCAGCAAACAGGGGCACACAGGAGTGCTTCAATACACAGAACTATTGGAGACAATTCAAGGCACAGAGGGAAAGTTTTCAGACCGCAAGATAATTCCAGAAAGAAAAAACAACAACTTCTTCTTATGATTGCCCTGCATCCTACAACAATGATAGGTTAGCAAACAAATCTGAGAAAAGATTTCATGGTACTGTTAACACTTTGCCGTCACATCTCGCCGATCGGCGATGTTTACCACCCAGTTTCTTTGGAATTGCCCCAAAATGCCCTTTCTTTAAATGGCAAGAGTTTTTTTTACTGTATGAGCTTGGTGATGGCAAAGCGTTAAAAGAATGAGGATAGTTTTAGCACCAGGAAGCAAATCAGGAATGAAGCAGTAAGATAAAAAGAAGGGTAATGCAGCATAGCCGAGTGTATCTGTCAACCACTCACCTAGTAGAAAGGGACAAACTCAGGCACCAAGAGTAAGCAGGACTTTCAGCTCCTTTTGTTTTCTTTAGATTCAGTAAGAGTTTTACGGCACTTGCAACACAATAAGGTCATATAAGTGCCTAAGATTAGAGGTGTTACAAGAGAGTAACGAACACAAAAAAGAAGGAGGGAAGATAAGGAAGATAGATGTTTTTAATAGGAAAGAAGAAGCAAACCACACCAGAGCACCCGCCAACCATCCGCCTCTTCTTCACATATCAGTATTATATCAAACAAATTATTTAGAATGGCCCCAAAAACTTTTCGTCAGAACCTGTCAGCGGCTCAGAAATCTGGGGTTCGTGTGCAGTGGCTGTGTACTCACCTTCTTCTCCAGAGCCAGAATCTGGGTGCGACATGTCTCCAGTTTGGCTGCCATGAAGTCAATGTAGGAACCGAGCTGCAGCAAGACGAGAGACAGACTGGTCAGGAGAACAGTGACCACACATGCATCCCCAATTCCCTCGCTTACTGATTTTTAAAAAATGCATTTCGAATTAATACATGACAACATCATTCAATTTGCATCCAGTCATAATAATAAAATTTGTAAAAATTTGTCCATCAATGTCTAACAATCACCAAAGCATCTGTGGAGAAGAATATCTCTAAAACAAACCAAAAGAAAAGACAAATATGTGTCAGTGCATGGTGGAATCAGGCACTCGTCAATTTTGGAGCATATGAAGTTATTTGTATCATCTTAAAACTTGTTTATTTGACCATCTTTTGATGAAAAAAATACATGCCTATTTTGAAAAGCAGTTGAGATATTTGCGATTGAAGGAGGTCGGGGTCACCTGGTTTCGGAGGTAAAATTAGTGAGAAAATGGCTGCCAAATTTTAGTGATTTCCAAAGCTTGAGAGTCTTCAGAAACTGAAAAATTCCATTTGTTGTGCCTATAATCAATGTTCTTCAGTAAAATCCTCACAGAATTTTGTTTTAAAATGAACATAAAATGTGTTGAGCGAAAAAACAAAAATCAGATAAAGAATTATCAAACAAGAGGATAATGCAGATATCATAGATTTCATAATTTTGACGAGTGCTTGATTTCACCACGCTGCCTCACATATGATGATATGCCGCTTCTACAATGACCAATGAGATCAATCCCGGCTTGGAGGAGTCTGCCTCATTTTGAGCATTTCAAAGCTTCATTTCCACTTGAGGATGTGTGTAGCTTATGGGCTTTTCTTTTGGTTTCAGCATTTCTAGCTAAGTTCCTGAAGCTTTATATAACTTATTTTTTTCGTAAGAGTTTTACGGCACTTGCAACACAATGAGGTCATATAAGTGAGGAAGATTGGAGGTGTTACAAAGGAGTAACAAACACAAAAAGGAAGGAGGGGAGATGATGATAGATGTTTGATAGGAAAGAAGAACCAAACCACACTAGAGCATCCGCCAACCACCCACTTATACGATTGGCTGTCCTCTGAAATTGTTGTCAAATGAACATTAAAAAAGATGTCATCGGGCTAGAAGACGTTTACTTGCCCCAAGGTGTGAACAAACAAAACACCGTGATCAACAAATATGTGAGGCAGCATGGTGAAATCAGGTGCTCGTCAAAATAACTAAATCGGAGAAACAGGCATTTTTCTGTCAGTTTGTGGCCATTTTTATCAAGTTTTTGTTTTTAGGCTCAACCTCTTTTATGTTCATCTAAAAACACATATCCTAGTGAATATTACTGAAAAACTTTTGATTTAAGGCTCAAATTATGTAATTTTTCAATTTTCAAGGACTCTTTAGCTATTCGAGTAACCAAACTTGGACAACCATTCTCTCAGAAATTAAATCATTGAAACCAGGCAACCTCACCCCCTTAATTTGCAAATATCTCGACTTCTATTCAACATAGATGGGTATTATTTTTTTTCACCAAAAGCAAGGCAAATGAACAGGCTTTAAGATAATACCAATAACCCCATATGCATAAAAATTGACGAGCGCCTGATTCCCACCACGTTGTGCCACATATATATATTTTATTGTATTACCAGCTTGAATGTCAGTAAATTACAAATCAAACAAGTCCACTACTTCTACTGTTCTATCAATCAATAGACTCGGGGGCGAAACAACTCAGAGAGGGAACAAAATGATAATGCAGACAGCATAACCAAACACACTCGTGATTTCAGGCACTTTCATCTCTGCCATTGAGACTTGGATACAAAACCATTCTTTGACATATTCTAACAGGGAATTGAATCACTTTCACAACATGGTCCAATCCACATCACTTCCCATGCATTCAAAAGCAAAAGAAATAGCAGTCCAATCAGAGATGTCAACAGAGAGAAAAATAGAGACATGCTAAGAGCCAGACTTTCAAGAAAGAGCAATTAATGCAGACATGAAAAATAAATAAAAAATCAAAAACAACAAACCCATCATAAAGATAAATTCCACCCTACTCCATCAGAGTACATCCCAGTACTCGGTACTCCTGTCATCTCTCCTCAGTTTGTTTGTTTGTTTTGTTTTAGTAGAGGTTTTACGGCGCTCGCAACTGCATAAGGTCATATGAGCGCCAGAAGATTAGAGGTGTTACAAGAGAGTAACAAACATAAAAAAAGAAGAAGGGGAGATAAGGATGATAGATGTTTGATAGGAAAGAAGAAGCAAACCACACCAGAGCACCCGCCAACCACCCACCACCAA